AATTTCAATCACTTTCCTCAATTATTTTCCAAAAACAGTTGGACCAATTCAAAACTCAAACAAAACCAACGTTTAACTTTAAGCAAAATTGTGTCATTTTAATTTAATATATGTGCTGCAGAAGCTAGCACATCTTTTTCTCCTCATTTTTCCTCATTCTTTGTCTAATACCCTGCCCCCCCAACAAGAAATACTTTTTAGGACTTGAAGAATGTTGGGGAACTTGGACTCCTTAATCCTGCTCTTGGAAGGACTGTGTATGATTTGAAATATGTTTGTGTTATAGCTGTGGGGGCTTAGGAAGAATTATAAACTAGCTTTTAAAAGCTTCCTTTTTCCTTTGCTCCCGAGTCTTTCCACGAAACCCTAAGGCAGAAACCAAGGGAAGTCCAAAAGGTAAAAAAGCTTTGAGAAGTCAGGTGTTTATTTCTTGACAGGGCATTAAGTCATTGATAAGCAGGTTTTCATGGAATGTGACTGCCTGTCATTAATATCAATTTTAGGCCTAGAAAAAAAATTAGGTATCATGTGACCCAGTTAGTAAGCATTGACTGAGTACCAGATCCTGTGCTGCTGCTAGGTTTAGAGATGCAAAGACAAAAATGAAAAGTAACTTCCCAAAGAGCAGGTTTGTTATCAACAGTCCAGGAAACCAAATGACTTCTTGCCTAGTCACAGAACCTAGTTTGTGTGACTTCTCTGGTTCGTTGTTTTGCCATGTCAAGTCTCAACTGTTTGTTTATAAATGATACATACCTTCCATATAGTGCCCAAAAAGTTTTTTATTTTAAGTATTTAAAATGACCCCTACCATGTTTGCCATGCTGACTTACTTAAAGAGACCTGGTTTCATTGCAAAACCCCTTTCTCAATTAGAAAAAAAATGGAACTTTATGAGAGATGTTGCTAATCCATTTCTATTTAAAAGTTGATGCCATTTATATTGTGAGTGCAAGCACAGATTTTTGAGGATCTTACATTCAAATGAGTAGTTCCAGAGTTGCGGGGGAGGGAAGAAATTTGGGTAGTCCCATAATAAAATGGATTCTTAAATAATGTAGTTTGTAGCTAATACTTTCAAGAAACATTTTCAGATAGGTAGACCAAGAATTGTAATGAGGTAGATAATGCGAAGTATTACAAGAAAGTTGCCACATTCAGAGGAAATGGAAAAGTCTTGTTGGTAAGGTCTGAGTAGAATCTAGAGAAGTTTTTTGAGGGATATATTTAACCAGGTCTTTGAAGAGTGGCAATAGATTTTCAAATAGAAAATGTCTTGCAAAGACTTATTATGAAAGCTGAAAGACTTGTCGAGGGAGATTGGACTAGATGGAAAGGCATGTCATTATTAATTTGTGCAGGAGGCCTTGAATTACAGGCTAAGAAGTGTCATTTCTTCCAGCACAGTTAATATTCCATTACAGTCATTTCCACACTTTGTGCAGTCTTTCCCCAGTGGTTGGACATCAACTTTATTTCCAATTCTTCAGTATCATGAAACCCATAGTTTCTGATTTCCCTTATCTAGAAAGACAAAAGACCCAAAAACCCAATACTCAAAGGTTTTGATGACTGCTGGGTTCTCTCTCTTCCTTTCCCTATCCTTTTAAATTAAAAGTGGTTGTTTACTTTGGGTTACTGTTTCCTCCTCTCTTTAGACTTTCCTTTGGCAGTCATTGATCTCCACTGCTTCTTTTACCATTTCTGTAGAGTCACAAATCTTTAAGGAAGAACTTGACCTGGGTTCAAATTTAAACTTGACTACTTCCTAAGTAAGCTTGGGTTTAAATTCCATTTCTGCTACTCCTATGTGACTTAGAAGTAATTTAACATCTCTTCTTACCTTAGTCCCACCTCTACTTTGTAGAAATGGTTTTAGGTGACTCCTTGCAGTGCCTTCCAGCTCTAAATCTGTTCTGTGATTTGATGACTGGGGTTGGGGAACAAGCATTTTTATTAAATGCCTACCATGTCCTATGAACCGTGCTAAATGCTTTATAGAGTTGGTTGTTGAGTAGACCAAGTTGTGTAATTGTAATAACTTAGCTGGGCCTTTTTTTTTTTTTTTTTGGCTTCCTCATCTTTATAATCAAGCTCTTCCTCTAGTTCAGGCCTATCTTACCTTTTTCATGAATTATTGCATTAAGTCTCCTAATTCATTGCCTTGCCTCAAGTGTCTTCCATCTCCATTTCCTACAAACTAAGCTGCCAATGATATTCTAAAGCACACTTCCCTTTATCCACACACAGAGATGGGATCCTGGAATTTAAATAGCCTGTTCACAATCCAGGCTTCAACCTACCTTTCCAGGTCCTTTGGTCTGTCTGAACTGACATTCCATCTCCCTTCTCAGGCCTTCCTCTCAGAATGTGATTTCAGTCCCTGTTACCTTCAGTATTCAGGTTAAATCTTTTACAGGAGACCTTTTCTGACTCCCCCAGTTTACCTTGTGGGTCCTCCCCCCCCCCTCAATTTCTTAGTACTTATAGTATGTTACATATTCAACAGAAAGACAAGCACATTGAATTGGTATTTTAGGAAACATTTCAGAAAACACTCCAGGGGCAGCTAAGTGGCGCAGTGGATAGAGCACCGACCAGGGAGTCAAGAGGACCTGAGTTCCAGTCTTGTTTTTCCCTAGTTCATGACACATAGTAGAGATTAGATAAATGCTTGCTGGATCAGGTGAGTAGATCATGTCTTTTCATCTTAAACCTGTCCTCTTACTATCTGTGAGGGATACTTAAATGATAGTTAACAGCAGGCCTGGCTGTGAGAAATTTAGTCTAGTGGGGACAGGACCATGACTTCCAACTATAATGTGAAAGAACAGTAAGCAAGATAAGAAGGTACTACATCGTGTTGTGTTTTTTTTTAAGGAGCATTTGTTCAACCTTGAATTATGGATCAGTAGTAGTATTGTGGACAAAGATAGGGGTGCTAGAACAAGAACACGTTGGAGAAAAGAGAGAACCTAGCCAGGGATATAAAAAATGGCATATTACATTTGGGAAACACCAAGTAGTTCAGTTTGATGGTAGAATAATTTCATGTAGGGGTAGTGGTTAGGAGAGAGAAAGTCTAGCAGTTGAAGTCAGAATTTGGAGGTGTTTGTTGAATGATGGACTGAGGAGTTTGGCTTCTTTTGAATAGAAGACTTTGAAGAGAAAAATGCAGAAATCTTAAGTTCAGTGAACTGTATTAGATCAAGGATAATTAAAATATGATAGCCATGGAAAATTTTTGTAATTTTATTGACTTTTTTTTTTGCATTACATTTCTCACTGATTTTTGCAGTATTTCATATCTTTGGACTACTTATCTGTTGGGTAATGGTGTATGGTCATTTAGGTATACATAATTTGCCTATATTTCTTCAATACCAAGCCCTTATTGAGAAGTTTGATATAGAATTTTTTTTCCCATTCCACCATTTTCCTTTCTTATCCTTGTATTCATTTTAATGATTTCTTAGAGGATAGTAATATTCCTTTATATTTGTATACCAAAAATTTTTAGCCGTTCACCAAGTGAATGGACCATTACTTTGTTACGAGCTCTTTATTACTACTAAAAGTACTGCTATAAAATTTTTGTATTCATCTTCTTGGGATAAGTAACTAGCATTATTAGTCAAAGGGTATGGATTTCCAGAATGATTTAAACATTTCACAGCTCCACTCATTGTGAGTGCGTTGGTATGGTGTACCAGGGATTTTTTTCCCTCCTTTCATCTTCCACTAGCTGCCCCCTTGGACTAGATGACACCAAGATCCTGTGCTGATACCTTCTCTAAACCCCCATTATATTGTAAGCTCTTTGAGGGCAGGGACTGTCTTATTTGTATCCTCTAGGCTTAACACAGTGCTTGGCACATAGAGGCTTAATAAATGTGTATTGACTGACCTGTTGCCAATCTTTTCCATACAACTCTCCAACATTAAGTATTCTCATCCTTTGTCATCCCTGCCATTTTACTGGGAATACACTGGAACCTGAGAGTGGGTTCTTATTCCTGGTAGTTAGAATAGTCTTTCATGTGGTTGTCAGTAGTTGTCTTGTGCAATTTTGTTTCCCCAAAAGACTGGAAAACTGTTCCTATCTTTTGCCTCACTAGGGAAAGATTCTTAATCATCTTATACATAGTAAATGTCAGAATCTTACATAAAATGTGTTGCATAGATTTCAGTGCCACTAACCCCCCCCCCCCATCAGTTTCACTTCTTTTCTTAGTTTTATTGATTTTTGCCCTTGCAGAAGCTTTTTAGTTTCGGTCCTTTGAAAGTTCCTTGTTTGCTTAAGGCTTCTTGTCCCTTGCCATTATTGTGAAAAATGCCTGATCTGGTTCGGTTTGGCTTTTTTAGCATTCTGGTCACATCCATATTTAGATTATTATGGTACATGGGTTAAGATGTTTGTCCACACTCAATTTCTAACAGACTGCTTTTCAGTTTTCCCTGTACTTCTTGTCCATCATCTTAAAATATTTGAAGGACTCTCGTGTGGAAGTTGGATTAGACGTTGTTTTTGGTAACAGGATAGAAGCAAGGGATGGCAGTATAAACAAAGTGTCCGACCATACTGAGAAGTTGTGGTGCTTTGTGTGTAAGAAACATCTTATGCAAACTGCCTTCATACAAACTTATCACCTGGGGACCGGCTTCCCTCCCTGATGCACTATGGTAGCTACAACTTGTTTTGCAGTGTTGTAATAAGAGGTTTATGTCAATATCTCCTTTCCACTCCACTCACCCCCTTTAAGTTCTTAGCTCAGCATAATAGTATACTCAAACAATGTGACATCTGAACTTATTTTTTAAGACTTCAAGATGTTAACATGATACTCATAAAGTAAAAGAGAATGAATCTAATGACCTGATCATTTTAGTAAAGATAACAATAATTCTGTGTTTAGATTTTCCCCAAAGTCATTTAAAAAACCTTTTTATATAACATTGAACTGACTTTGAATATGTGACCTTATTTTTTGTTTTTATAGGGATTTATCAAAGATGTTCATGAAGATTCCCTGACAGTTGTTTTTGAAAATAAGTAAGTTTTTCTTACTATTAACCTTAAAATTATGGAGTTTTTTTTTCTTTCTTAGTACATCATCTGTTTGTTGAGTCTTTATTTCTGAGTCTTGAGTTTGAAAAAGGTATAAAAAGACAAATGTAAGGGACAGGTTAATTTCTGAAGTAGTTGGACAGGGCTTGAAACTGGGAGGTACAATGGTAGGGAGGAATCAAGAATTAGCACTAGTCTTGGCATAGTAATTAGACAACATATTTTAGGATGTAGAAGAAAGGTAGAGATAAAAGGCTGTAAACCTCCCTTTAATAAAAATTCATTTAGTCCAAATATGCTCCAGCATACCTTAAGACCTCTTTAAAAGCAAACACACATACTCTGAAAATTATGCAGTTAATATTTAGACCAGTTCCATATAACAAGTAAACCATTCAGAGCTCTATATTGTCAAGTGCTGGGTCCCCTTGTAACAAACCATAAGCATGGAAGCTGAAAAAATGGGAAAGGCAAACGTTATTTTGAGCTGCATTAGTTTAGTCTGGAAAGTTTTGATGGAGGTGAGAATATTACATAGCACAGTCCAGGGCTGCCAGGCCCCTCTCAGCATATTTGAGCTGCTGCCATGCCAAATCCCCATCTTCCCCCCACCCCCCAGCTCCCAATCAAGTCAACAAACTAGTCATTTTGAGGAGACCTCTGCCCAAAAGGGTGGGAACTATTTTCATCCATATTAGAAAAAGAAGGTATAGATTTGCCATGTTTTATTTCAGGCAACATTGGAAGTTGACTACTAGCATTCGGTTTCTAAGTTGTCTGGATTTTTAGATAGCAATTTTAATAGCTTGTAACTCCATGGAACGTAGTTCAGAATACTTCAGTTACTTTCTTTTCTTCTACCTGCTCCTCCCTCCCAAACAAAAGGACAAAACCCTTAGAGCAAATGTTAGATGGCTTTGCCATTTCCAAAATAAAAGGTTTTTATAGCAGTAGTGTATTTCCAAATTAAAACTTATGTGTCATTTCTGACAGGTTATAGTTGTTTTTATGTTCATAAGTCTTCATGGTAAGCTTTTAATGTTCTATGTTGGTACCCCACTGATATCTACAGTATTATGTTTCAGTTTTTAGTTGATGACTATGAAGTTAATTATAAAGATGTGATAATATATGCTCTTTTATGTGAGAAATAGTTTTATATAAGCATTGTATAAAACATCTTTAATTTTCAGCTGGCAGCCTGAACGCCAAGTTCCATTTAATGAAGTCAGATTACCTCCTCCTCCTGATATAAAAAAAGAAATTAGTGAAGGAGATGAAGTAGAGGTAAGCGATTTCATGTTTATTGTACAAACATTGATAATCTATTTAAAGCACAAACAAGTTAATTCCTTGGAATTTTTTTCTTTGCTGTCATTGACTACTATAAAATGAATGAAACCAGCACGTCATTTGTAGAGGATGCAGGTGGCATTCTTAGAGATTGGTGTATTGTTTGGTCATTCTGGAATATGTGTTTTTTTCCTTTTTGAAGTCAAAAGGTGATTTGTACACTGGGAAAAAACTAGGCCTACAAATACCTTTCAAAGACAAGGGGAGCTTAAAAAACAAACTTCAGTTTCTATCTTAATAGTCATTTTGAAAGAAAACAAGAAAATGAGGGCTGGGAAGCAAGGACAGGGATCAAAGGACCAGAGAGGAAAATGGAGGGAAATCAGAAGGAAAGGATTTTGTTTGCACTGAAAGAATTTCCTATCGTTCTTAGAAATTTTGAAAAGCCCTCACTGGTTAGAATAGAAAGTTTGTGAAAGCTAAACCTTTCTTACGCTTAGGTAAATAAAAGATACCACAGAATTAATTTCTTATGCATGAAAGTTGATTGTGGTTAAATTGGGAATTATTAACTGAAATTTTAACCAGTTTATCTTATCTAATGCTTTTTAGTAGTCAGTTTTTTGTATCTCTTTTTAAAAAAAACCTGCATCTTCATTTCTGCATATATTCCTTCATTTCCCTTTCCTCAGTGAGCTATGCTTTGTAACAAAGAATAGGAAAAAGGCAATTCAGCCACAGGCCAGCTGAGGCTGATGGCCTCTGCAGCTTTCCACATCCACAGTCTCCTGTCACCAGCATTTTTTATTATATTCTCACTATCTCTTTGCTTCCCACCATTCCCTTCCAGAGAAATACAGCAATGGTAAATCATTACAATTCTCAAGAAAAGCATGAGATGACATTAATTACATATATTTAGAGGTTTTTGTTTTTTTTAATAGACTTATCTACAGGGTAAAAACAAAACAAAATTGAATCATCAAGAAGTGGTAGAAAACACACTAGGAGATAAAAAGTCAACAACATTAAGAGAGGCTAGAGGATCAGAATGAAACAGACTTATCTCAACACATAAAATAGGGGAAGAGGAGGAGGGAGGGAATAATGCCATCCTTACTCTGGCTTTGGCGCATATATTCTGTGAGATTTATCTTAAGCTGACTACCCCCAGAGTTACACAAACTATTTTTATGCAGTTTTAATGTATTCTCAGACAAACACAAAATACCACAATAAGATAAAAACATAATTAACCAAGCTCAGGTAAAAGTTCATTTAACAATTTTGTTTAATGAGCTTAATTGTCACTTAACTTGGCCCTCTGGAGAATCATTTTCCTAAAACTATCAGTTTCCCTCTTAAGGATTCTTCTTTCCCCCTGGTCAGTGGTAAACTCTGTTCTAAGACTTCTTCCTTCTTTTAATCTGATCATTAAATCATTTTATAAGAGTCCTTCCTGGTCTCATCCCCCAGGTCTTTAAGAGGGAACCAAGGACATCAGATATGTATGTAATAGGGCCATTATGCTTCTACCTACCCAGTTCAACTTAGCAAAATATATTTTTTAAAGGTTGTCATGGAGAGTGGCAACAACCGTTTTGAGATAAATTTGAGAAGGAAAATCACACTCAATTCCGTCATCATAGAAATTTTAATAATTGGAAAGTATGAAAAAATTTGTAAGGCAGATTACTATAACCAGTTTTTTTCTCATTAAATGGAATATTTTCTGATATTTTATATTTTTCCCCAATTGCTTGCTTAAACAATTTTTTTTAACACTTAAGTGTTGAGTTCTAAATTTAAATGGAATATTATAAACAGATTTTGCTATTTTAGACAGTGATTGTGAAATACAGTCTTTAGAGATGAAACTGAAGATTTGTTTTTTAAAAGACAAAATAACTTTTTAGAGCCTCTTAATCACTTTACATTTCTGGAAACAAAGTAAAATTTCTAGGTTTCTAATGTTGCAAAGGACAAAAAAAGTTTTTCAGAAACAACTTTTCATCTGAACATACTGAAAGGTACTGTGGTGCTAATCGACTGTGGTCAAATACCCTACACTGGCAAGCTTACAGGGTTTCTTTCTCACCCCTACAGCCACCCAAAAAAGAACTGAAGGGTCTTAATAGCAGAATTTAACAGTAGTTAAGAATCTGTTAAAATATAACGAATATAGTCTGTATCTTATTTTTAAAAAATAACCATAAATGTAATTAAGTAATTTACATTCCTGTCAAAGAAGCTAAATATCATACGCTTGGTTTGAAGTGAATTTTCATGAAAGATTCATCAACCTTTGAAATAATTGATTCATAGTAATAGGTAGCTAAGTGCAACAGTGGATAAAGTGTCAGGCCTGGAGGCAGGAAGACCTAATCTGGCCTAAGACACTTAGCTTTGTGACCCTGGACAAGTCACTTAACTCTGGTTGCCTCAGTTTCCTCATCTGTCAAATGAGTTGGAGAAGGAAATGGCAAACCACTCCAGTATCTCTGCCAAGAAAACCCCAAATGGAGTCATGAACAGACTAAAAGGACATAACTGAAAGGACTCAACAACAAAAAAATGTTGACAAAACTGAAACAAGATGGTTATCTTAAGATGTGTGGAAGCTTGCCTGGTGAGAGTTTGAAGAGTAATTATTCATATGCTAAAACCCAAGAATTTAGAATTTAAGCTGAGGGCCTTTTTCCTGTTTGTTAAATGCAATCTTAATTCTAATAATAAAACTTGAAGTGTCTGGGAAACATTTTTTTCAAGCAGAATTCAACAAAAAAAATTAGATGATTTGTATCCTCCTAATTATCCTGATGGAATCAATCACATCTTTTTAGCAATATGTCAATTCAGGATGGTAATTTGGATAATCTGTGATATGATCTGAGTGTTTAAATTTTATAACTATGTCTTCAGGTTTATTCAAGAGCAAATGACCAAGAACCATGTGGGTGGTGGCTTGCAAAAGTTCGGATGATGAAAGGAGAAGTAAGTTATTTTTAACACCTAATAGGTTGCATTTTTTTCCCTCTGCCATCTAGTGAATGGCGATGAAGAAATAATTCAGAACAATCTTGTACGTAGAATGATTGTTTGGGAAAGGGATCATTGCTGAAAGTAATAGCAATAGTAGTAGTACCCTTTAAATATCTTTCTTGACTTCAAAATTCTGTGCCTAAGAAATCATGTTTTGTCTAGAATGACTTGCTTGTAGGAAGGGGTGGTGGGAAGAGGTAGATAATTTGCAATCATTCATTTAGATAGTTGAAATCTGTGATCGGTGAGTAACAGTATACCTAGAACCAAGTACCTTTAGAAAGAGGGTTCCATTTGGGTGTCCACTGATCACCTTTTGGTGGCATGTAAAGAAATAAGTATTTCTCAGGAAGAGCTCTTGAATAGTTGGGTACTACGCTAGCTAATATATAACCAGTATCAGCTTCACCATGGAAATGCCCCTGTATACTCACAGTACAACCACCAGGACCTGGAGTTAGGGCTGAATGTAAGATGGGTGGGAGCATCCTTGGCAGGGGCACTGAATGAAATGGGACAGAGGTATCCGAGGGGTTGCTACATCAACAGGATGCGTGTCACAAATAGGGCCTTGCTTTGGGTCTGCTGGCCTATGCTTTCATCCCTGCTGAACTAGTTGGCGGTCTACCACCAGTATTAGTTTAACAGTAGACTTCAGAATCAATTCCAGTCTATCTTATGCTACTCTCATCCACTTTCCCCTAAGTCTTCTTACCACATTCCTACTATGGTTTGGTAGGGACTTTATGAGTTACTGGTATTGTCCCATAGCCAAGCTTATTAAAGACAGCGTACTTTTCCCTCATCTGAGAATTGGACTGAGACAGTAGTTAAAACTTCCTTTTTTGTGAATTTCTTTGCCACACCTTTGGAATTAGATGGTGAGATAATTTTTTGGTTTAAAAATAAAAGAATCCTAAGAATTAACCTACTAATGCCAAATGTCTAAAAATACCACTTTGGAAAAGAATTTTTTTTATATGATATTTACAGAGATTTAAGAAAAGTTGCAAGTAGGGTTTCTCTTCAACTGTATAATGTGTCTAATTTTCATACAGATAAAATTGTTGATTGTGTTGCAAAACAGTGGAGAGAGCACTGGAATTGGAATTAAAAGTATTAGGTTAAGACCTCTCTACCACTTGCTGTTGTGACCATGTTCCCTCATGACTCTTTTCTGGACCTGAAAAAGGGATAAAGATACTGATACGTTGTTATAAAGAAATTGTGTCTGACATCTTAGTGAACAACACACATACATATTGATTGCTTTTGTCAATTGTCCTTAAACACAAAGTCATTATCAATATAACATGGCACCCACATCTAATGTGAAACAGTTAGATAGAGCCTATCATTAGTAAATTTGAAATGCCACAAGTTTTGGGAATCTAGGGATTAAAAACAGCATAAGAAAATCTACTAAGGCATACAAATGTAGGTACTTTAATCTTAGGCAGAAGCAATTGAGTTACAGTTAGGTCATGCGTGGACAAATACACAAAAGTTGAATGGTATTAGTGGGACTTTTGTACTAGAATATTTGTACCTTTTCTCTTCAAATGAGAGTATTTTAGTCTATCTTACTCTTTTCCAGTTTTATGTCATTGAATATGCTGCTTGTGATGCCACTTACAATGAAATTGTCACCTTTGAACGACTTCGACCTGTCAATCAAAACAAAACTGTCAAAAAAAACACCTTCTTTAAATGCACAGTAGATGTTCCTGAGGATTTAAGGGAGGCGTGAGTAATTCTGTTTACTATTCAATCATTTTAAGTATTTAAAATGACTATCTCTTGCTGTAGAAATCCTCTTCTTCTCAATGGCCGTTAAAATCTTCTAGAGGAGAAAAGGTTTTTGTGAAGCAGAATTATTATACTGAGGAACTTAATATTCGGAGTCACATTCATTATGTTACTGTTGTTATAATATTACCTGTTAATAAAAACCTACATATCAATTTCTTTCTAGGTGTGCTAATGAAAATGCACATAAAGATTTTAAAAAAGCAGTGGGAGCATGCCGGATTTTTTACCATGCTGAAACCACACAGTTAATGATACTGGTAAGATGTTACTTCATTTTAAATAGAATAAACATCTCCAACTTAATAATGATATGTACAGATCACAATACTGTAAGTGCTGATGCTTCTGCAGCTCTTGGAGGATCCCATTAATGGGGGGGTACTGCCTGCAGGGATGCATATGAATTATATCTAACCTTGCAGGCCTTTTCATTCTTAAGGACGCTTTGCCTTCCCATAAGTCCTACTGATTCACCTAGGCCTCTTTTTAATTCTTGTAGTATTGACGTTACATTTAAGAAATGAAATTTTATATTGTCTAATTTTTCCCTTGTATCCTCTTCCCTTTCCCTTCTTTAATCCAGAGAAAGAATAGGGGGAAAAATGAGCAAAACTGATAGATTAAAAAAAATCTGATAGGGACCTTTAGTCTCATTTTCTGTTATCATATATTACGTTTTATATTTTCTACCCCTGATGATGGAATCATAGAACGCTGTATTTTATACATATTTCTTTGTATATATTGTCTCCCCTGACAGACAGTGAGTGACTTCAGGGCAAGACTAACTTTTCTTTTTCTTTCTGTTATACTTACCACGGAGGTAATCCAGCACATAGTAAAGGCTTACTAAAAAGTAGACAAATTCCTTGTTTCTGTATATATTCACTTGGGATGTTAATTTTCTCACAAACACAACATTTTCCACTTGAGTTTTTTTATTTTGTAGTCTGCCAGTGAAGCAACTGTGAAGAGGGTCAATATTTTAAGTGATATGCATTTGCGAAGTATTCGTACCAAACTGATGCTTATGTCAAGAAATGAAGAAGCCACCAAACATTTAGAAGTAAGTAGGTTTTGGTTAATGTCCAGTTATTTCAGTATTATAAATCATTATTTGCTTGAGTTTGGGCACTAGTTGTCTGAGTAGTGATTCTAGGGCATAGGTTGTAAAGATTCTGCATAAGAAACCCCTAAGCAGCTTAAGATGTACTTGGGAAATGTTTAATGAAAATACAACATAAATAACAAATTCTATGTCACTATGCCTATTTGAGTTTGACACTGATTTACAGGATAGCTATGCTGAATACATGAAAGAAGGACATGTGGAACCAGCATTTTCCTCCAGTTGTGGTTTTCTGTTTTACTTTTATCATACAGCTCCAGACCTGTTCAGTGATTGTGTAGAGTAGAGCTATCTTCATCTCTTTCCTTTGAGTGCTTCTTGTTTTCTGCATTGGCTGAAATGTGGGTTAATACATTCCCATAGTTATCTTCTCAGGCTAACATTTAAAACAAAGTTAGCCTATAACATAGCTGAAATATTTGCGTGGCCCATTCTGCCAACAGTTGCTATTTGTCATATGGTTTCTATCAAATGTATTCTGAATTCAAGTTAACAAAAAATCAAACTTTCTGTTTGATTTTGGGAACTCTGTACTGCAGACTAGGAGAAAATGCTACTTTTGCAAATTATAGGATTACCTTGGGAATTGCTGATTGTAAATGTTTGACTTTTTTCTGTGATGCTGTATAGTAAATAATTTCCTATGTTTTCCTAGTGTACAAAACAATTGGCAGCAGCGTTTCATGAAGAATTTATTGTGAGAGAAGACTTAATGGGTCTTGCAATAGGAACCCATGGTAGTAATATTCAGCAGGCCAGAAAGGTTCCAGGAGTCACAGCAATTGAACTGGATGAGGATACTGGAACATTTAGGATCTACGGAGAGGTAAAATTTGGTGGCTTTCCCATAATGATTACATTTAATGTATTACACTCAATTTACTGTAGCTTTTTTAAAATTGTTTTTGCTTAGACTATATTGTCTAAAATGATTGACTGTCATTTTAAACCAAATTAGGACATTTATCATTTTATTTTAACAATGGGAAGAGTTTCAGTTGAGTGGGAAAGGGGAGAGTAGGCTGTGTATTAATTTTAAAATTAAAGTAAATCAGAAATGGAGCTGTTACAGTATGTAGTAATGTATGTATAACTTCTACTTCTGCTAGAAATGTATGCTACCCTGCTCATCTGTGTTTGGGGACATGTTTCAAACCTGTTTCTTCATACTGTTAATTCTATAGTCTCTTAATGAAAAGCATGAGTGATGTGTAAACTTTTACAACAGAGTAGCATTATTTTCTATTCTCTAAATCTGTGCCAGAGAATGTTAATTAAATGCTGCAGTTTTATCCAAATTATTCTTCTAAACCCTAATGATTGAAGTTATATCGATAATTTTTTATTTTTGGTCCTTTAAGTGAAACAGCTAATTGATCCCCCCACTCCCTTTTTTTTTAATCATTGGCTTCACTCTGATTTGTTCAGAAGTGAAAGCAGTGTTCTTTCAGATTAACTCTTGGGGTCACATAGCTTTCTTCATCTCAACTGTGCTAATCTTTTAACTTCTTCAGATTTCCCTTAAAATTTCCCCATTAGCATTCAGGTTGAATTTGACTAGCATCTGGTCAAATGATTTTGAAAATCATCTCATTAAAAAATTTTTTTTCTTAAAGTTGTCAGGTTAAAGTATTTCAACTCTGCCTTAGCATAGAAGGAAATTTAAACCATTTCTGTACTATTATTGGAAGAAAAACTTTAAGTCTTTAGTACTGACATGGGCTTGTGACATAATCTCATTAGTAAATTGGGGTCTTAGATTAGATGATGATATTCACATCATGTACAGCTTTAAAATTCTTTGGTTCTCAGAGCCCTGTAACAGTTACTGGGTTACATGTTTTGTTGTACAGGCCTGCCCAAGAGTATTAGGCCTCTTTATCACGTCGTCTTAAAGTACCAGTGAGCCATATTAGCTCTGTCTGAGAATTCCTTGGGGCCTAAGGATGACCTCAGTCATAGGTACATCCTCTATGTTTTTCAGGGTCCGAGGGCCAAAAGAAGGCTGTGCAGGCCTGTCTCAGAGTATCGTCACAACCCCATTGTATCTTCAGTGTTCAGACAGCCGACCTTTTAGGGGAGCATCATTAGTCTACTTAGCAAATGGCCTTTTTCTCACACAGTATTTCAGGTGTGGCTGGATAACTCTAATACTTGATTATTTTTGTTTTTTTATTTTCCCTTTTCTAGAGTGCTGATGCTGTAAAAAAGGCTAGAGGTTTCTTGGAATTTGTGGAGGATTTTATTCAGGTTCCTAGAAATCTAGTTGGTATGTAACACTACTAAATCCTAATTTATTTAAAAGCACTCAAATAGATAATAAAGTGACGTTATGTTGAATTAAATAATGTGATGATACTTTTCCATTTAGGCTGCTTAGACTTTTGCAGATTACAGGTATACTTGTGTTCACATCTATAGTGAGAATCTAATAGCTGTAGAATTGGATTTTGCAACTTGCCTACTTTGCCCTAATTCTTGTTTTCTACTCGTGTGAAAAAGAAAAGCAAAATACTTAATTTTGTTTTCCGTATTGTATATGAAGCACTACAGAAGACAGATGTTGGAAATGAACACCTTCCTGCTTCCTGTACTCCCCTTATCCCTTCAGGGTCCCTGGTACTCATGTACTACTCAGAGTTGTAGGATTTCATTTTTATTTAGTATGTGAAAATATATTTATTCCCTTGTTTAACTTAGAAGAGGAAAGACTGAGAAGATTTAGAAATTGATACTCAGGAGGGATGATATCTGGTGTGAGTATGGTATTCAGGGGGAGAATCTTAGCTATTCAAATTCCCATTTGATGCCATTGGAGCTTCCCTGATTTCTTTGAGGAACCTTTGGGTTACAACTTTAGATTAGCAGTCAAGAAACACGATTAGAGTTGCAGCAACACTAACTTCCTTTAGCGAACAACCCTTTGTGCTCCTGTTTCTTTTGCCTTCATAGTGGTCTCCATTTCAGCTTACTTGACTTGACATATAAACACAATGCACTGAACTGTTTGAAATAAAAATGACTGATTTAAGGTGGTGATTTAAAGTAGCCCTTTATTTAAATAAGTAATCCAAAGGATGAAATAAGATTCTTACTATAAGCAACTATTGCCTAAATCCTGAAGGCAGAAGTAGAAAGGGTATTGAATTTGGAATCAGCAAAGCTAGCTTCACATCTTGGCTCTACCACATGGCTTTGAGCAAAATATTTTACTTCTGGAATTCCATTTCCTTACCAGCAAAAGGACAGGCTATACTATGTGACCTGAAGTCCCTTCAGTTCCAAAGCCATTATTCTATGACCATCATTATAGCAAAATTCTTGTAGAATGTACTCAATGATATCTCATATTTAAAAATACTAGAATATTTCTGTATTGACCTTTTGACAACCAAGTATTTGGAACACATCTTTGAATTCCATAGTATTGTGATTTCAACATAATTTAAAAATTTTTTCTTTTTAATTAAAAAATAAACAGGCATTTTCTTATTGGTGATGTGCCTATCTTTGGTTGTCAATTATTTTAGGATTAAACTGCTCATTTATTCTATAGGGAAAGGCATTGAGGGTTAAAATACAATACAAAGGGAAAAAACTCAATGTGCTTGTTTGACAGGCTGGTGTTTTTGTTTTTGTTTTTTGGGTTTTTTTTTTTAATTAATGTGGGCTTTGTTTCCATAGTGCTTAAGTTAGTTATCATTTATTTATTCTTCAGCCTCAGTAACCTCATCTTGATAGCGAGTATCTTGCTGTTTTAAAATTCTGTATTGCCTTTCCATGGTCTCTGGGTAGGATTTACAGGGTTGAAAAGTACCTGGGAATTCCTGAAAAAATCAGGGAATTGGCAGTGAGGACGATCTCTTGCTTAGGTTGATTCGGTAGCTTTTAAGTTTCTTCCTTTCTGCTTGGATTGCTCTGTGTTGTTTGAATTGCATGATCCTGGGCAGGATAGGAGAGCAGTAGCAGCAAGCTCCCCTCTGAGCAGTGCAACCTTGACATTGCCCCAAGCTTGTAGGAGAGACTTTTCCCATGGCATATGTGTAGTACTGACCTTAAACCCAGAATACTCTTGGCACATCAGAGAGAGACAGAGGAGTGAGATGAGAAATGAATCTTTTACATTCTTGGCCATGACCACCAGGAAAATCAGTCCAACACTGGTGTTTAGGAAGTCACAGCTCAAACCTTCTAGGTTGCAAATGTCCCCTGACAACCTCATGTTTCCCAGTTTCCTCACTTCCAGTTCATCTCTCCACTCTGTGTCCCCCCCAGCACTTATGCTCAATTTGTACTGCAGGTATGCTTCACTTTGTCATTCTGCTCTGTGGAATTTATACCTATGGAAATGGTACACATTCAGTCTGTGGTGGGGCTGATTAAAACTTGCAGGTAGGTTCCTGCCACTGGCCCCAAGAAGGGTGATTTGAGTTCACCTACTACTGCTATAGCTCACATGGGAGGGAGGGGGAGGGTCAGAGACCTTAGGGTTTGGGGAGAAGATTGAACTGGGAGACTTCACAAGAGGGGCTTGCTTTCTCCTCAGTAAATTGCCTGCATCTTAGAGCCAAGGATAGAATCCCTGTTAGGACTCCACAGAATTGGCAAAGGAACGCTGCCGTTGGATTAACCTGCTGACGTCCTGTTGGGGATGCTATTCGGGACTGAGGAGGGCTGGCTCCATCAGCATGTCTTCTTCATTCAGTGGCTGGCTGCCGCTATTAACTCTTGGATTGATTTTCCTTACCTGACTGTTTGTGGGGATGAAGCTGGAGGTGGGAGAGGGACCTTTTCACTTCTTGGCTGAGGCTGGCTTGGTGCTACCACTGCTCTATTACTTATTTTGTGTTGACTCCAACCTTCCCTGCATGCTGTGGCAAAAATGTGGTTTTTACAACTTCTTTACCAAGAAGCAGCACAGGTCTAGGTTAATACTGGATGGTTCTGAGGGAATGAATATGATTTATTAATGTAAATCAATGGGATAATAGAATCTTTCATGGAATTTGTATTATACTTTTCATGGATTTACTAAACAATTCCTAGTTTTGGATTAGGTTTGCTAGAGAGTAGTATGGTGGAAAGAGCACAGGACTTTGTGACGGGAGTCCTGGCTTGAGTTCTCTTTCTTTCACTTAGTAGCTGTGTGACTTGGGGAAAGTCCTTGAACATCTCTGAGCCATATTTTTATCATCTTTAAAGATCGTTGCCCAACCTACTTCACAGGGTTGTTGTGAGGAAAGTGCTTTGTAAACTGTAAAGCAGACACAGAGAGCTCTAAGTTGGGGGGATGCCAAGTGATATTCCTTCTTTTCATAGGAATATTTTTAGTTAGCAAACTAGATTTTGAGTTACTTTAAGATAGAGAGAGCTGTATTCTTTTTATATTTTCCCCACAGTACTGTGAATCACAGTGCCCTGTTCACAGTGGGTCTTCAGCAAATAACTGAGCTAGAAATTAAAAGTGTGAAAAATCACAGAAATAGATTCATTATAATGTTTTTTATTTTTAATGTGTGTTCCAACATCAGCCAGTGTATGAATAAGGAAAAACAATTAGCAGATTAATTATGCTTTCAAGTTCTCTGTACTGTGTTAAGTAGAAAGCTGCCTTTGTGGTGTAAAGTATGAGACTTGTGGAAATGGAACACTCTGGATTGCACTGAAGGATAGTAATGAATATTGGTGTGGGTGCTCCTTCTCACAGGGTCAGTCTTGTGATGAGCCTCTTAATCCATGGACAACAGATACTCTCCCTTTTGAAGATTCCATTATTGTAGGGCTTCCAAGAATAGCTTTCCAGTAGTTTAGTCTTTGAAAAGCCAGATTTCTTTAATGAGGTACTGGCATGGGAGGATTCCCAATACCATGGGAATAGAAATGTGATCATTTACTAATAATCCCACCAGTATTGTCTATATATGTATGTCATTATAAATTCATCTATGTCATAATTTGCAATAATTAGAGGTCCAAACCATGATGTTAGGAAGACCTAGTTTCAAGTCCTGCCTTTCAGCATGCTAGATATGTGCGCAAAGCCATTTAAATTCTCAATTCCGGGAGATCTATTGACTGATGTAGGATTTTATCCACACCTACCTAGAGTTCTATGCATTGATGAAATCACAAGTATCTTCTAAATAAAAATGAAGTGAACATAGATCCTTCAGATTGTTTAGTTGGATAATGCCAGTCAATTGCTGAGCTTCCAGGCATAATGTTTAAGCTTTATGAAAATGTTAAGTCTATAAGAATTTATATTTTAAATAAAAGCAGAGGTCTGGTGCAGACATGACTTTTAAGGAATGACCATGTGGTCTCACATCTGAGTTCAACATGATAACAGTATTGTGGAGGCTGTGTCCTTTCCAAAGAGGAGGAATCTTTGGGCTGCCTCTTGTTTTGTTGGTTAATATTCTGACTACTGATGAATTGGCAATGAAGCAGAGGTTAGCTTGGTTCACGAACTTAGAGCTAGTAATAATTTGTTCATGTTGCTGGTAAAATTACAAAAGTGGCATTTTAATAAGTTATGTCCTTGTTTTCTCATTAAAGGAAAAGTTATTGGGAAAAATGGCAAGGTGATTCAAGAGATTGTGGACAAATCTGGAGTAGTTAGGGTGAGAATTGAAGGAGACAATGAAAATAAACTACCAAGAGAAGATGTAAGTTGATTTTTTAAGCCTTTCCTTTTTTGAAACTTTACTTTCATGTGCTCTTCCTAATTGATTTATTGATGTAGTTTTTTAAATTTTCAATTATTCTAGTTGGTTACATATGTTGTTTTTCAATTAATTTCCTATTCTTGGTCTCTGTAATAAGGCCTTCTAGGTATTGCTTAAACTTGAACAGTGGTGAAACCTGAGGAAATGATAGAATATTTTAGGTGATTGCTTAAGTGATAAAAGAGTGGTGGGCCCTTTGAGAATTTGGTGGTGTTTTAGATTTGGAGATCTTAAGTCTGTCTACTGACATGGACATTTTAAAACATTTTCTTAAAATTAAAATACGGTGTAAAAGATTAACCTGTCAATAAAAATACTTTATTGGTAAAGTAACATGACTCAACATGGTCCTGGTTTTCTACTATTTAATGAACTTTGTTACCTTGAGCTAAAGGTATTTATTTGCCTCTCTGAATCTCACTTGGGGTTATTTTTTGTCCTATCTCACTTTGAAAATTGCTTTTGCATAATGCTTTTTTGCTTTTCAGTGGTTTTTTTTTTTTCTTCCTTCAATAATATACATAAATATTCCCTGATGTCATCAGCTTTCTGTTTTTTGCCTATACTTTCCCTGGAGACCTTGTGTACTCCTGTGGCTTCATCTCTTTTCTACATAGTTTCCTGTCCTGAGTCTTCACTTATCTCCAGAACATCTATCCTATACTTCAAATTCCCTGCTACAAGTGTATTCCACTCATTTCAAAAACAACTTTATTCCCCAAACATCTCCCCACCTCCCTCAGTTGCCTGTTGATGCCAGTCTATTAGTGACTCTGATTAAAATCTATAATTTATCTTTACCTGCTCTTTCTCCTTCAATCCCCCCTGCACATCAGTCACCAAACCTATACTTACTCTTCTTTGGGAGTAAATCATACACGTCCTAGGAACCCAGTGACAGCTTTGCTGCTCTTCCTTCATCCAGTTTGTCCTTCCTCCTGGACTCTGGACTCTTCAATCGGATCAAGTCCACACTCCTTAGCCTGATAGTTAAGTCCCTCTTGACTCCTACCTCAATCTGGCTTTCCCTCAAAGGAGTTAAATCAAATGGACATAACTCCACTTAAATTGTGTACTTTAACACAGCAACCTCACACGTCTCCAGCTTCCTCCTGGCTGGTCCATCCTATCTCCTTCAAGCACCTGCACAGCTCCTGCTTTGTTTAGCGAATCTCCCTCTGTACAGACACCCCCACTACCTTGTGCCTTTCTATAAGGAAAACTTCTACCAGTTTGAGCTGGTTCAGAGTGGGGGTTTCTACCTCATTACAGCTAAGTTGGCTGAGTCCTTTTCGTGGAGACCAGGAGAGAGATGGTTGGTTCCATGAATTGTTGCCGTTGAAGGAATATGGAAGAGTTTTCCAACTTAAGTTCAATTCATAGTCATAGATGGTGTTAACCTAAAAGCTTCTGAGAATTGAACCAAATGAGAAAGCTAGTCTGTCTTTGGGGGATAGGGGGGCCAACTGGTGTTCTTACTCTTTGAACACTAAAATAAGGTTTTTAAGAAGCTCAGGGAGGAACTAAGCGTTTTATATGTTTTAGATTCTTTACAATACTTTTAGTTTATTTTTGTTGTCATCAATTAAATGAAAAGAGGTGAATGTGTTTTTAAATTTTATTTGAATATTGCTATATCCAACTTCACTTTGGAATTTTTATAATGAAGATTCTTTTTACCTTCCCATGCACTCCCTTCATCCCCTTTCTTTCCAGGGAATGGTCCCATTTGTATTTGTTGGCACTAAAGAAAGCATTGGAAATGTGCAAGTTCTTCTAGAATATCATATTGCTTACCTGAAGGTAGGTGTTCTGAATAGAAATCTCAATTTTATTTTGGGTTGGAAATTTGTTTCACTTTGGCTTTTTGTGGGTTCTGCTGCTTTAGAATTTGTTTGAAGCCATTTTTTACAGGTATTTAGAGGGGTTTGGGGGAGAGCTCAAGCAAGTCACTGCTTTTACTCTGCCATCTTGGCTCTGCCCCCCTCAATTTTGCTCTGCTGAGAATTTTTTTTGACAGGTTGAGTGTTATCTATTTCATGTTAAATAGAAATTCAGCTCCCAATTAAGAACTTGTTTTGGGAAGTCACCACAAACTCTTAGCAGTAATTGTACATGATGTGGAGCTGATACATAAGAGTAAGGTATAAAGAACGCGCATATTCTCATGTATTTCAGTACCTTTCTCTTGAATGTTTACTTGCTCTTATTTCTAATCTTGGTTTTTTGACTCCAGACTTTTATAGGGTGTTTATTTCAAAGCTTCTGAAATCTTATTTTGGTATTAGGCACTTTCTGTAGAGCAGCTCTGGGGCACTTGAAGTTCTTGAATCATGTGCCTTCAGTCTCAGTTTGCTGTCCTTGTGACAGGGGAAATCTAGTCCTGCTCAACTGAGAGAACTGAGGAAAAGGATAATCTTTGTTTCTATATTCTAGCCTTTGTATTAGCTACCAGAATATCTTCTGCTCCTTTCTCTATGTGACAGAAAGAGAATTAAAATTAATGCATATCTTTAATATAGAAAATACATAGATACAGATGCTTCTGAGAAGTTCAGCATAAACTGGCTACTTTTGTGTCTCAGAAAAAAACATCTCCTGCCTGTTAATCAAGGTGGCATTGCTTGAAAACTTCTGTTAAAAAATTCTGTATAACTCTTCAGGTAATCAACTGATAAAATAGTTGAGTAGGGCACCCAAGGAACTTGATAATAGAATATATACCTTTTAAAAGATTTAAACATAACTTAGGGTTTTTACTCTGGCTTTCAAATGGTTTTATTACATGTTAATCATTTGATCTAGTCCCTGTTCAAAAGCTCTGTAAAGATGTTCTGAGATCCTTGCTGTTAAAACCAATAGTTTAAAAAAAGTATCAGCATTATTTTTTCATCAAGTAACAATTTTTAAAAAATCCTTAGTAGCTGATCCAATTCATTACAGCATGGATAATATGATCTAATGTTTTTTGATGATTGAATACACTGTGGTGCCATAGGTTCTCTTAGGCTGGGGCAGAATGGAATTAATGTACGAGCTCTGAAGGAAAGATGACTCATAAGGCTTCATCTTTTTATTCCAGGAAGTAGAGCAGCTAAGAATGGAGAGGCTTCAGATTGATGAGCAGCTCCGGCAGATCGGTATGGGTTTCAGACCCTCTTCCACCAGAGGGCCTGAAAAAGAGAAAGGCTATGCCACTGATGAGAGTACCGTTTCTTCTGTACAAGGTTCTAGGTCTTATAGTGGAAGAGGCAGAGGTCGTCGCGGCCCTAATTATACATCTGGTTATGGTAAAAATAATGATTTGTATTTATTGATATAATGCAGTTTTGATTTTTTGGGATAGATGTACGTGGTTATGTTGCATATTTTGTGAAACTTAAATTTTCAATATTTGGCAGGAAATACTAATACTCCTCTCCCTAAGCCTGATTTTCATATCCAGTTATTTGCCAATTGATCTTAAAAGTGGAATGAATATGAACAACTAACTGAGTGGATAGTTCAGTATAGTGATTGATAATAATAAGCAAAGGGCTGTTTGAAGGAATGAAAATGGAGCAGCTAAGTGGCGCAGTGTATAGAGTGCTGGCCCTAGAGTCATGAGGACCTGAGTTCAAATCCAGCCTTAGATATATACTCACTAGCTGTGTTACTCTGGGCAAGTCACTTAACCTGATTGCCTTGCCAAAAAAAAAGAAATAAAAAGAGCCATGTCCTCTGGATTAATTGCTTGTGTTAGACATTCTGTAGGCTGGAGTATATTCCTTTTTATGACTTACATTATCTGTCACTGATGGAATTGTGGTCAGCTGAAGGCTGTAAGATCTCTGACCCTCACACAAAGGTGTCTTGTGCCTGGAGCTTCTGGGTGTCTCAGGCAGTAGAGCTTTAGGGGTTTGAGATTTCCGTTTCTGCCCTTTCTGGTCACCACTGATGTCACTAATCTCCTCCCTTTTCTTTCTACTTTGTTACATTACCTCATCTACATTCGTGGAAATGGGCTAGGTAATGGAAAGACGTTTCTAGCCAGTGCTCTCTTGTGCATACATAGCTAGCTAACCAGTTGTCACTTCAGATGCGAACTCTCTCTTCGTGCCTTTTCTACTTAGGAGTCAGAGAGTATCTTCTGTTTATCACCAAATTCTCTTTGTAGGAGATGCTTGAAGGTTCTGTCAAGAAATAGAGTTTTTAAAGAGTTTTTCATGTTAAAAGTTACCATTATTTAGAAATTTTTAAGATTTGTAGCACACATACTTTAGGTGAATTTGAGGGGTTTATAGAAATAAACAATGCAAAATAGTCAAGATTAAGAGAATTTAAAATAAAACCATGTGTAAAGGAAAATTTCCTCAAAAGGGAAACAGAATTAATAAAGCTTAGACATCTTAGATTACTGTATTTGGGCGCTGAATTAGCTTATAATTTTCCTGGTCACTATGGCAAAAAGAACACAGACTTTGAAGCTGTTTTCTGAGAAGAGAAAATAAATGGAACTGTATATAGAGAGACTATTTCCAAAGACTAAATTCGAACAGAAATTTGTGCTATGGATCCTTTTTTCTACCAGCAGACACAGGATGTCAAAGGAAAATATTTTAACTATACTTTTGAAACAAAAAAAAATGCAGAAATTTTGTTCCTGTGGACAGTACTTTTATTGGCCATCTGTTCAAGTGTGATGGCAAAATCTATTGTCACAAACATACAAATATGCCTTGACTTCCTCTCCCCCCAAACGTGTGTGGGGGGGCCCACGTTATTTAATGAATCAGGAATCATGCCTTCATGTAACAATTACTAAATATTGTTTTGTCATAAAAGATGATATTAACACTGATGAGTTAATTTCTTAGGGCCACTTTGCTGTATTTTTTCCAACATCCTTGTCATAACGTGTTGCTATATGGTGGAATGCTTTTGTGTACCATTCATTTTAGGCCCAAGGCATAAATGGAAAAATAGAAGGCATAATTATATTATGATTTAGGAGTGTTCTTTTTCCCACTTTTACAAATAGATGCTTTTCTTATTTCTCCAATCACTCATTTCTTGCCTTTTTAATTCTTTCTGAAATCTAAAGAAGTTCAAAATGAACCCGTCTCAGTCATTGATCCCCTGAGTTGAGGCCTCATCATCTCTTGCCTGGACATGAGCCTCAGTGTTCAGTATCTCCCCTCCTTACAACCTCCACAGAGCTGCCTGAGGGCTTTTCTAAAAGCCCCCAGCTGACCACAGCACTCTTTAGAGCAGAGTTCATGCAGGCTTTGAGTCAAATCCAAATGTAATTTGGAGATGTTTTACAAAATAGTGTTAATATGTCAACATGCAGCTTGCAGGGATCCATAGGTACAGTTGTTGGGTGGATAATAAGTAACACACCCATCCGACTCCTCCCTGCTTTCCCAGGGGGATTGTTCCTCAAGTACCCTTTGCACCTAACATCTCTATCCCAATCAAATGGCCTGCTTTTGTCATTCCTTCTATACAAGAAGCTTCTGTCTTTGCCCACCTGTCCATGTGCTTTAGATGTATTCCCATCCCACCTTTACACTATTCAGATTCTCAGTAGCCTTGAAGGGCTATTTTAGGCATGAAGGGGGGGGGTGGTGTATATGTTGGCCTTTGTTCATCTATTAGAGAGTCAAACAATACTATGATATGGAGAAAAGGATTTTGCCGATATTAACAAGACGCATATAATAATTTTGGAAAATCACTATAACTACAAAATTTTTTTGGATTATTCAGTAGGTGGCACTCTTACATCTAAGTCACTTCAGGAACAATTCGTAGACTCATTATGGCTGGTTGTTACTTTTGAATTGAATTTAGTCTATAAAATTTGTTTACAAGTGTGCTTATTATATGGCACTTATTTCCATACTGTCATTCTTGGGGAAGAGTTAAAAAAAAGTCCTTACAGTTTGTCTAATTTTCTCAGGAATTTAAAAATCTGGACAGGTGGACTTTATATCTGCTAAAAATGATTTTAAAACTTTTTCCAAAAAAGTGTTTTTTTTTTTCCCGATCATTATTATGGTAGAGTGTTTTTGGACTAATGATGTGAAAACAGAATTATCTGTTATTCACACTTTGTTGTTTCTTGGCTGTATTCCTCCTTCAAATTTTGAAATCATAATTTTAACAGAAATTTAAAATGTATTGCTTCGTAGGCCTTCTTCCAAATCCCCTCCCCTACTCAGACTATGCTTTATGGCAAAAAAAAAAAAAAAAAAAAATTTTAAAGCAAGGTCAGACAGCTAAGACGTTGATCAGATTTGACTGTATATGTACCATTCCCTGATCATACATGTCCTCTTGTTTTCACACTCTCCTGTATGAGAAGAGGGTTTTCCCCCCTCCCCTACACTTTTCACAGTGTCATGTTTTGGTCATTATAATTACATAGCATTCATTTAATTTTTATTGTTTACATTGTTGGTCATTAGTATATTGGGTTTTGTAGTCATACTTACTCTGTCAGTTCTTTTGAAATCTCAGATTTTATTTTGTGTTTTTGATGATTTATTTTAGAACTGATTGTTCATGTCTTTGATCGTGTAAATATATTGGGAAATGGTTCTTGCTGTTACACTCTTAGGCATATTAAGTTTTTATCAGTTAATTGATGCAAAGATCAATACTTTCTTTATCCTAGCTGAGAAGAAGCTTTTCAAATTCAGTCTAAGTTAGCCCTTTGTTAAGTGTAGAGGCACAGTCTTCCCACTTGGGAATTTTTTAAAATGAGGGAAGCAGTTTGAAGTGGCAGTAGAGAGACACGATGATGAGGATCAGGCCTGTGAAGAGAATTTTAAGTGTAGTTAAAGCTTATGGAGCTTTGCAATGAGCTTAATTGGCTAAATGAGGTTTTAAGTTTGTTTTGGCTTCCTCCCAGCTTCTACATTTGTGTCCTGTAGACCTACCCATTCCCAGAGCTTCACTTTTCTCGTGTACCCAATCTCTACCTTCTACTATAGTTCTCATGTTTTCCACAGTCAGCCTTCTTCACTACCCACTGTTGCCTCTTCCGTGGCCAGCTTTCCCAGTGTCCCACCTGTGATTTAAAGGCTCTTCTGAGACTTCTGAGGGTGATTCACTGTTGTGGGATGTATATGTTCCTTACACTACACTACAAATGTCATTTTTGGATTAGAAGTATTTTTTGGTTTGTTTTTGTTTGTTTTTTTGTTCCCTGAATACCTTTGAAAACTAGGTACATTCCCCTCTGTCTCTATGTTGTTGGTCTTCTCTAAAAGCAGTGGATGGAGCAAAGAAATGCCTTGGTTCAAATGCATTCAAGGCCACCTGTATATGCCGTATGCTAATAATTTTCTTAATACTGGTTAAACAATCAAGGAACCCTCCCAGACTCACCCTTTCCTTTTCAGGTTTCCTTTTCATTTGTTATCTTTGTAACCACATAGCCTTATGATAAAAGTTCTCAGGTCTTGAAGCTGTTTACCTCACAGTTGGGAATCAGGAATATTTTGGGACTTTGAAGTCCATACTAATCATTCCCAGAGAGGTAAAACTATTCATCTTAATTGAGTATAATCTCCTAGTTTTTCTTCAGTGTGCTTAGACCTTGCCACCTTCTCTTTGTATGTCACTACTGAGTTGTAGTTGTGTTCTAGTCAAACATTGAGCAGCTTGTGAAAAAAGGGTTTTTTGAGAATTTTGTTAACAAAGGGGAGGTAGGAAAGGAGGAGACTTTGTTAAATCTTTACTGAAGCTTTTAAAATGTTTAAACCTTTTATATAATGGGATGCATAATTGAGAGTAGTTGCTAAGCAACTTCATTATTTGTAAGTTGTCCATTTTTGTGTGGCATGAGAGGCTTAGGGTTATTCAAAGAAAATGCCTGGAAAATAAACACAGCTCATGGAGATTCATTAACTCTTTGTGTACTGTGGCCCATTTAAAATAGTTTGTGTGGTACTTTGCATTTTGGAGCATCAACAATTTTGAAGATGCATAGAGGTATCCATATCCTCATGGAGCCTATGGTCTATTTTAGGGGTCAGGATCTCTAGCTCCAAAATAAATGCGAATTGTCGAAGACAATACACATTTAATTACTTACTTACCTATTTTTATACAGTATGTCCTCTAGAACTGGTACAGAGTGGTGGGCTGGGGGCAGGAACAACTAGGTGTGAACTGTGAAGAATGGGTAAGATTTGGTGGATACCCGGGAGGACAGGGCATTCTTTGTAATGGAGAGACCTTTGGGGAAAGGCATGGAAATAGAAAATAAGAATGTCATGTACAGAACACTAAGATTTGACAGAAATCCTAAATGTATGCTAAACAGTGGCATTTTTATACTTCTGCTTCTCAACTTGACTGACTTGGATAGCTATGATTAAAAGAATCTAAATAGCCTTTGACAGCGAATGAAATTTTGACCTACCGGGTTTCTGTAGTTCCATTCAGCTGCACTACACTTTGTACTGCATTGGCGTGACTTCAGATCACAGGTCAGTTTTCATTGTTATGAAAGTCATAGAAGATAGCCATACCTTCAGCTTAGTATTTCCAGTTTTTATCCATATGTAAAACTTAAATTATTAAAGTTTCCAATAGATAGTATCTTTGTGAGCGTCCAGATCTGTTGATAAATTTCCTAAATCTTAATGTTAGTCATTTGCCCATTATGACTTTTGGTATCAGATTTTCCACCTGAGAAAAGTAAGTTTTTCAGAATTGTTGATGATGGCATTTTAATTTGGCAAAGTTTAGTGCTACTTCAGTATGTTGAGTAGTTAACATCATTATATTTTGTTTAGTGGTAACTATCAACAGCTAAACAAATACTGACTTTAAAAATGTGTTGACTTAATGCAATTAGTTAATGTTCTTTTTCTTTTCAGGCACAAACTCCGAACTGTCTAATCCCTCCGAAACAGAGTCTGAACGTAAAGATGAGCTGAGTGATTGGTCGCTGGCTGGAGAAGATGACCGAGAGAGCAGACACCAGCGGGACAGCCGGAGACGCCCTGGAGGGAGGGGCCGAAGCGTTTCAGGGGGTCGAGGACGTGGGGGGCCCCGTGGTGGAAAGTCATCAATTAGCTCCGGTAATATGCTCTGCGATGTTAGGGGCATTTCTCTTGAAAATGAGTGTGAGCCTGGCACTTTTTAGTTTCCTGTTATAGAGCTATAGATATACAACTGCTGCTTCTGCTCTGTTCTCATAACTACAAGGTGAAGGATACACAGGGGTGTGTATGTTAGAGGCAGGGGATGCCCACAGAGCACTGAAGACCCTCTCATTTAACAGTAGTGTGTGCCCCAGGTTAATTAGGTGGTATGAGTGACGCTCCAACTTTTTGGGTTGGAAGGATATGAACCAAAAATGTGAGCCTACAGTTTAATAATCTACGTATTGGATGCATAAATCAGAACATGTCTGATTTTAACAGAGGCCAATAGGCCTTGCTTTATATTGTATGCCTTTGTCAAAAGGAATAGATACTGCTTCACAGTTTATTAAAAAGATGATAATTCAGGACCATTCAGAGCTGTTATGCTTGAGCCCCTAGGCTTTATTGCCCTCCATGAATGTCCCCAGTAGTATCCTTTGGCTACTCAGTATTGTATTAGTATGCTCCTAGTTACTATAAGAAAATAAGGTTGGGGGGTGGGGGGTTTGTTTTGTGTGTGTGTGTGTTTGTTGAATATCTCTCATAACCTAGCTCATGAGTTATTTATATTTAGTTCACTAGGGTATATGATTTGTAGTGATCCCAGGAGACGGCATCACATGAATGCTCTCCTTTGAATTAGGAAGGACCTAGATTTGAATCTCAGCCTTAAGACAAAGATGAGTGACCAAGTCACTCTCCTGAGCCTCTCCCTTTTCTCATCTCTGAAATGGGATGAGAGTAATAGATAGCAGCTTCACTGGATCACTGTGAGACAGTCCTTAACGGTAGATAAATTGCTTTACTCATCAGTGTTTTCTTCACTGGTTATAATTATAATGATTGTTTGGATCCGTTTTGTAGTTAACATGTTGTAGTTTTACAATTGGAACAGCAATAAGCTTTTCCCAGGTTATCTGATCATTAGTAAACAAGTCTAATAAATCTTCATCCTTCTTCCTGCTTTTGTGCAGAGTTGTTAGGATTGTTTCTGTTTACAGTAACATCACTGTGGCCATTGCATGGAAATACAGTTAATTGTTGATGACAACTGAAAAGTAGGCCATTAAAAACCAGTGCAGCGCACAGCCTGTAATCTGCTAAGGACAAAGTTCTTTCAGTAATAGTGGTGTAATAAGTGAACTTTAGAGAAAGCGTGGAATTTAATATTTGGACTTTTCAAGATTCTGAACCTTAGAATTTTGTATAGAAAAGCACTTTTGACAGTGTGGCCTTTTTTCGTCTATTTTCAAGTATTTGATCTTTGGTGAAATTAGTGACTTAGCAAATAAAAGTCCTAACTGGGGCATAACTGTTTCCTTCAAATACAGTGCTTAAAGATCCGGACAGCAATCCTTACAGCCTGCTCGACAATACAGAGTCTGACCAGACTGCAGACACTGATGCCAGTGAGTCCCATCACAGCACTAACCGCCGCCGGCGGTCTCGTAGACGGAGGACTGATGACGATGCTGTCCTCATGGACGGAATGACAGAGTCAGACACTGCTTCTGTTAATGAAAATGGTCTAGGTATGTAAACACTTAGGTACATATGTCATTAATCTGTGAAGTTTTAAATGTAATTTACGAGTTGAATTTTAGTTGAGAACATTGTAAGCAGTATTGGTAACTTGTGTCTGACGTAAGACCCATGTGACTAGTTCTCAACCTGTAAAGCCTGTTTTGTAGCCAAATACCTTGGATTTCTCAATGTGGGTGGGATGACTTCAGTGGCTATCAGGGCTGCTGTTAAATCAGTGAAGTACTAAAGCAATATAAGGCACCCCTGCCCTCATTGCCCTGACAAGATACCTTCCCCAGACACCACCCCCAGTTAGGGAGCAAAACCTCAGAATTGGAACATTAGTTCATATGTTTCTGTTAACACCCCACTGGGGAAGTGTGTAGATCTCTGTCCATATTTATATGTGTGCTTGTAAAAGCAGGTTAAAATGTCAGTATTATGGAAATATCCCTGCCCATAATCCTCCAGATGACATGGCCTTACCTCCTCAATAGTCTGAGGAATGTATGTGATTCTTAAATGTTGTGCATCCTGTAATCTGTAGATCATATTCAGCTTATCTCTTTGTAGAATGTTCAAGATATAGCAGTGTATTTCATAAAAGTACTGTATATTGTTTATCATTGGTGTGTGTTTAAACAATTTCTCTTTCCCCCTTAAATCTTTGAAGGAGAGACTTTTTATTGTCAGAATAGTTCATGGTAAACTTTGCAATTGCAGATGATAGTGAAAAAAAACCCCAGCGACGCAATCGTAGCCGCAGGCGTCGCTTCAGGGGTCAGGCA